ACCCGGCGGCGCTCTTCCTCCTGTCCGAGGTTTTCATTGTTGTGAGCATTTCTGTTGAGGATTGGCAGCGGGGGTGGGGTGTTTGTTTTTTATTCCCCCCGTCAGGTTTTGGTCATTTCACATGACCCTGGGACACTGTGACCGTCATAAATATGAATCAATTGCCAAGCATCTGAATGTAAATCACAAGACCCTGGAGAGGCTGCAACTTTCCAGCTGATCGGCGCTTCTTCTGGGCTCAGCAGAAGTGCCAGGATCAGCGCCGAGCTCCAGCTAGAGCCTGGTGCTGATCCTGGCACTTCAGCTGAGCCCTGACAGCCCTGCAGCTCCAACCATCTCTCGCTCAGGCTTGTGCAGTGCTGCCACCAGTTCAACTCATTCCCCTCCCCCGTTACCACTTTTCTAGGATGGTTGCGTACCACCTGCCAGGTGCAATGTACCACAGGTGGTACCCGTACCACTGGTTGAAAAGCCCTGCTCTGTGTGAGTTGCCCTATAGCAAATGCAGTGTTAGCAAGAACAAAGTACACCTCTTTATCCATAACACCTCCCAACAGAAAAGGTCTGAAAACATATACATGGCCGGTGTTGGTAATTTCCTTCATCTTCCTCCCAATATGGAAAAGGAAAGCTCCAATGATAATTCCAAAAACTTTGGAGAGCTCCAGGGGAAAGTTTATTATAACTGGAAAAATGACTCAAATGAACAGCGGCACAACTGAGGAATAATCTCATAGTGCTTATATTTTGCATGACTAATTAATAGTTGGCTGAGCCCAATACCTGTCTCACATCCTGGACTGTAATTGCCATCGAAAGCTGCAAATCCAGCACTGGGGGCCATAATGAATTCTCCGTTCAGTGGAAGGTACTAAGCAGCAAAACAGAATAAACAAAAGACATAAATTTTGCAATTTCTCTCTGGGCTGAACTGCTGAAGACCAGCTAATGCCCATAATGTACCATTAACTACAATCTTCCCCACTTTGTATTATTTAGAAGCACTATCCAAACATCGTCAGTAATGGCAATATTGATTCATTTATTATTTATACAATATTTCCATTTGAAATTAAAGGAGACAGTCCTAATTATTCTGACAACCACTATTTTGATATAAGGGAAGGTGACTTTTTTCTCTTAGGCTGCACAATTCAGAGTGACCTGGGGAATGTGGATAACTGAAATATAATATAACATTCAGAGAATTCTTAAACTGAAAGTTGCAGAGTTCCCCTTGAAACTTTCTATCATTGCCCATAATTCATTTTAATAAGAAAGGAAATGCTGTAAAATCCAAAGGTCTACTCAGATACAGGATGCCATTCTTCAGGGTGGGAGAGAAGCAAAGACAAATTAACTATAATTACAAGGGCTCTTTCATTTCAAATGGAAATACGATTAAAAAAAAAACAAAACAGTACATTATCTACAAGCCAAAGCAAGTCTCAAAATTGTGAAAAAAGAACAGATGTGCTTTTTTTTTTAATTTGATGATCTACCTAAGGACAACCCAGAGATTACAGATGGCCCTCAGATATTTAAGATGCTACAACCCTACTTCCAAATCCACTGGAAAGATCTGCTAGCTTTTGAAGCAAGGAGATGGCATGTGAAGAGCATCTTCTGCAAGTGCCCTCTTCCTTAGCACAACTGTGGTAGCCATGCTAGCTTACCATTAACAGGAATAAAAATGTTCAGGAGGATGTGACTGTCAGTGGCTCCCCACTCACAATGTCAGTGCAGTGAGCTCTAATGTTGGAGGCACTTGGCCTTTATTTTGTTCTTCCCAATGGTAGGGCAGGAAGGTGCGATGGCTCAGCAGTTAAAGACATTGAGCTTGTTAGCTGGAAAGCTGAAAGCCCAGATTTGAGATGCCGTGCAATGTTCCTGCCCCAGCTCCTGCCTGCCTAACCATTTGAAAGCATGCAAATGTGACTAGATTAATAGGTATCATTTCAGTGGGAAGGTAACAGCGTTCTGTGAGCCTTGGCATATAGCCATACTGGCCACATGACCACAGAAAATGTCTTTGGACAACGCTGGCTTCCTTGACCAAGGAACAGAGATGAGCCCTAGAGTTGAAGACAACTGGACAGGGAAACCTTTACCTTTAATGGTAGGAATGGCCCCACGTCTCCTGGCTTACAATGCTCTAAAAAGGTTGCATGACTTGACTTATCAAGCCCACACCAAGAGCTGATTTTTCTCTGCACTTTTCTCCTTCTGTCGCTTTATCCAATCTTCTCTTCTTTTCCAAGCCAACAGATGGAATGCAACCAATACTCAGTCTCAATTGCAAATGGAGAAAATGTAGAACAAGCCACTGAAGGATGGCAGCACAGCCTGGAGAACTGAAGATCAGGTGGATCTGGGTTCCTAATAATCAAAGGGCTGTGAAATAATTACGTCTAAGAATTTTTTTTGATAATCTGTCCTTCCTTCCCTAAGCATTTCAAAATGTATTCATATTCAAAATGCTGTTTTTAGTGCCTATGGAAAGTTAAATTCTCTGGGAGAAGGCCATTTACTGCATAGCCATTTAGCTACTTCATAAATCATAAAAAATGCATAATGCATCACACCAACTGCAAGAAACGTGAGCACCAGTGTTAACAAACAGCAGCAACTAATATCAATATTTCTTTCCAAACCCCAATTAAAGATCTTCCTTCGTTTACTAAATAAAAGGGGGGAGGAGCCATCTTAACCCTAAAGGGGACAGAATATCATTGGGTTGAAGCATTTCAGCACTTCCAGATGAGTACAGGTAGTCCTCGACTTACAACAGTTCATTTAGTGACCGTATGACGTTACAACGGCACTGAAAAAAGTGACTTATGATCATTTTTCACACTTACGACCATTGCAGCATTCCCACGGTCATGTGATTTACATTCGGATGCTTGACAGCTGGTTCACATTTATGACGGTTGCAGTGGCCCGGGGTCATGTGATCAACTCTTGTGACCTTCTGACAAGCAAAGTCAATGGGAAAGCCAGATTCACTTAACAACGGTGTTACTAATTTAACGGCTGCAGTGATTCACTTAACAAATGTGGCAAGAAAAATTGTACAATGCAGCAAAACTCACTTAACAAATTTCTCACTTAGCAACATAAATTTTGGGCTCAATTGTGGTCATAAGTCAAGGACTACTTGTAGATGTTCCACCTCCAGTCTTCTTGGATCCATTTTCAAAGGAAACTGAAACTGATCATGCTTTATTTTTGCTTATTTCTAAATTAGGCCAGCCTCTTGTCTTGGGGGCAAAAAAGAATAGTAGGAAGAAGTGATGAGAAGAACAGCAAGATAAAAAGTTACCAGCTTTTGGGCAATTTCAAGAGGTCCCACTAGCTCCTCTGCCTCAGGGATTTTTTCCCTACTCCCATATCTCTAATATCTAAGCTATTTTGTGGATTTCCAGGTGTTTTAAGGACAAAAGCATATTGCTATGACACCACTTTAACCTAGACAGAAGTTTGAGCATCTTTCCCTCCTGTCTATTCAGTGCCTTGAAATGACAACTTTTCATTCAAAAAAATAACTGAGATACCCTGGAGTTGTTTCTTATGGCAGGTTCCCAGTTATGACATCAACCAGTCACCAAAGGTCTTGGCTTATGGCCAAAGTGAGTCTCCATCTGGAAATGTCTCTTCATGTCTCCATCCCACATGAACATTTTTAGCATCTCTGGAAGGCAACATTTTAAGTAGTTGACCAACTTTTCAGATATGCCTCTGTCTCTGATAAGCTCAGAGCAGCATACATGGGGGAAGGGGGGGTAGCAGCAATAATTTCTTCCTCACAAATAATGCTAAGGGTATTTGTGGGGCTCATCTCTAGGTTTACCCACGTTCAAAAGCCAATTCTTTTAGTCACTGTTACACAGCTGTCAGAGATGGGAAGTACGAAGTGTTCTTAAGGTGGAACGATTCTATTAGATGTCATCTGTTATGCTGTCGTTTTGATTTCATTCCTCTCAGCCGAAACCATTTTCATTTTGTTCTGCCTGCATCGTGCCAGCATTGTCCTGCTCGCATGTCACCGACTGCATCATCAGAGCATGCTGTTCTGCAGTGCTGGAACCACTTGGGAGTGCTGCAAAAAGGCTTGTTCGCAATCAAGCCTGCACGGTGTTGCTGATTGGAGGTAACGTTCGATGCTGAATTTCTTCTCCTGCCATAAACTGAGGCTGAGTGCTTTATAGCTACCCTAGCACTGATTGATGTTCTCTGAGATGTATACAGCTTTTTAATATAGAAGTTTCCTGCAAGGCTCTTTACATTAATGCATACCTCTGAGATTAAAACTGGAAATAGGAGAGAGTGGAAAGAGAGGCAGATTCTAACATTTTCCAGTTATTACTTTCCATCTGTTCGGGTCTCTTCTTTTCTTTTAGTGTGTTTGCCCATTCTTACCAGGAGGTGGCAGCAGATTGTCAGACCTGTCTATATAGCTTACATGGAATAAAACACTATTTCTGTTTTCAGTTGGGGTGAAATGAGGAAGACGAAAGGGAATCTAAGGATAAGAGGTTTGCCAGTAATTGCTGGCTACTGAATCCATGCTCAGGGAAAAAAACAAAACAAAAAAACTAAAACCAAAGCAAACATATACCTGACCTTTTCATACAAAGAGAAAATTGGACCTGACTGATCTGTCTTCACATTTGAGGAGGCTGTCAAGTTGTTTCAGAGAAAAGACCAAACTGGATCCCGCACAGAATGTGTTTGCTAAGAGAACAGTCTATCCCAGCAGCAAGCTGATACAGCATTCTTTGAAGGATGAATAAAATTGGGGGTTGGATTTTGATTGGCTGTTTCAGGAATAGAAGACCTTTTCCATTCATGGAAGAAAGCATTCGGTGAAGACTCCCCACTGAGAAAAGAGCAGAGAGGTCACCTCTCATGATGCTCCAGATGCTTTTGCAATCCTCCAAAATAGCTTTTCTGGAGGCACATTTTTCTATTCTTATTTGAATGTTTAATGAATAGTAGCATTACTGCTGCATTAACCAAAGTTGCATTGCAGTTATCTTATTGGCAACAAGACATATTTTAGTCATAGTACTTGAGAAAAGTATTATAAACACCATTTTAAGACAATGGTGATCTGCTGCTCATTATATCAAGCATACTTCAGACAGGTTCACAAATTGCACTAAGCCATAATATGATTAGTCCAGTTTTATTCTAGTGTATTGTACAAAATCTGCCAACGGTGATTTACTGAATAACAGTGTTATATAACCTGTTGTTGTTTTTTACATATGCAAACCTAGGTAAGGAGGGAGCTAGAAAAAAAACCTTAAAAACCAGTTAATTTGGCACTGGTCTAACTACAACTGCATATCTTTTATTATATGCCGTGCAAAAACACATGGACAATTCTCTGGCTGATTTTCACTCCCAGGTTTCTGACTAGCACATTGTTAGTTTGTAGCCTAACAAGATTTTTTTTAAAAAATTACTATTTTTCTTTTCCTGAGCTTCTTTCTTATAGCTCTTAAACTTTAATTAGTTTACTGATGCATCAAGCATTGGAAAAGTAGGTAGCTTTCAAAAATAGTAAAAAGGTTTCTAGTGGCTTTTGAACTGAGGAAGTGTTATAATTATTATGTAACTGAGAAAGGCCCCAGAAGTGCATCAGAACTTATTGAGGCAGAGCAGGGAATATGAAGTGAGAAAATGCTTATCAAAGTGTGGGAGGGGGGGACGAGATATCTAGTAGAAAGTAAAGTCTATCTGACAAATGAGATAGCAATTCTTGAGCCAGCACAAGCTAGAAAATATGCTTTTTACTTTGGAAAAAGGGAAATAAGGGCAGAGGTCACATTCTGGATGGGAAATAGAAGCCAATGTTCATTC